TGTTAAGTCACCAAGGAACTTCAGAAATTTAGTATCAGGTTTCTCTGGGGGGTAGATTTCAGGAGACTCCTGTGATCTACCAGTAGTGTTCCCCCAGCTGATCAGGTAGGTCCTGGCCACGCTGGGAGGTTGAGCCACGCCTAGTCATGCTGACGTTGGCTCTGGGTCTGGCTTCTTAGAAGAAGACTTTGGTGCAGGGGTCTCATCTGCAGATCTCAGCTGTTCCTTCTGTTTAGCTAGGAACTGCTGAAACATCTCCTGGAGGTCGGCTTTGGTCAAGTACTCACCTGCGGACTTGTGTTCAGGACCTACCTGTGGGCGGCGCTCCTTAAACCTTCCACTGTTCCGACCTGCCTGCCGTTGGTTTTGGTTGGGCCACTTCCTGTCTGATTGTCCAGACCTAGGCGGCCAATCAGCACCCCCCTTCCCCTGTTGAGGAGATTGGGACTGCTCTCGCGGTTTAACAGGTCTAGGTTTAGCAGATTTTGGCTTAGTGGGTGGAGCTTCTGTGCCTTCGAGCTCCAAACGCGGCTCGGTGTCGGGAGCTAGGTGCATGACGCGGTGATGTGCGTCAGGCTTTTGGGGCTTTCCGCCGGCTTCCCAAGCCTGTTGAGCGTATCTCCTAATCTCCTGAGTTGTCAGTTTCTTCATCCGACAATACATTGAGACTTCGGAGCGAACACACTCGTGCAGGTTGTGAATGAACAGGGATCTGAAGGCAGGGTCTTCCTCGAGCCCAGGGCCGTTTCGACCTTGGAAATAAGCACTTTTGAGTCGGCGATAATACTCTCTGGGGGGTTCGTTTCTCCCGTGTTTGATGGAGAAGGCCCCCATTGTAGCTGACGCGGAGTCTGCATACGTGGCGTATTCATCCCTCAACGCTCGGCAGAGCGAGGAGTACCGATCTCGAATGTCAGGTGGTAGAGTTTCCATGAAACCGTGCACCGTTCTAGATGTGGTTTTCCAAATTAGCTTGAGCTTTTCCCTTGAAGAGGGTGCTGGAAGATCAAGCAGACAACGTTCTATCTCCCTGAGATAATCGTCGACATTGGATTCATTGGTGTTAGGATCAAAACGTTCTACGTCTTTAGCTAGCGATTCAATTTGACGTACACGGAGCCCTGACTCACGGTACGGCGCGTCATCCTCTGACTCTGACACACGGTCTGTCTCAGAGTGCGCTGGATATCGCTGGTGTGCTCTGGGCTCCCAATGTTGACTCCTGGGGCCCAAATCGGGGTCCGGCATGTTGTGGCGGGCTGCTGGAACGTCACGTGGGTGTCTTGGGAGGTCCTCCTCCCGGGGCACGTCTGCGTAGCGCAGCCTGCGTCTTTCAACTGGGGCTTCTGCGTAATACACTTTGTCCGGATACGGACTGGCGTATGATGCTTTGTCCTGCAGCTGGTTACCGGCATGCCGAATACCGGAGTAGCTAGGATGGGTGGATGGTTGAGGTGCAGCTTGGGGTGCATAACCCCAATCGGCACCTTGCACCCTTTGTGGACTGGGGGAGCGGTCTAAATAGAGGTGCCGCTCAGCTGGTCGACTTCTCACTAATTGAGAAGGCCGTGAAGATGAGGGTGGTGGTCCAACCTGGGGTTCGAGGGCGAACTGCCCTCGGCCCCTAGATGGTCCTGAATGCCCTATAGTGTGTGTAGGGAACGGGGCCGAAGGTTGGGACAGATAAGCTTCGTCTCTCCCCTGCGGCATGCGTCCGTCCAGAGAGTCAAGGTGTTTCCCCCCTTCCCACTGTCTGTTGTCATCAGCAGAAGGGGGCGGGGTCTTCTCCCCATCTTCCCCAGAATCGGTGTGGGTGTCGTCTTCCTCGATCAGCCTTCCATTTCGCTGTTTTTCAGCTAGCATACTCTGGAGGTTCATGATCTTCTGACCACGTTGGAGTCCTCTCTGATAGAGGATCAGGGCTAACTTAGCTAAGTGAACCTGGATTGGTTTTGTACCATCCGGGTTTTCTATTTGATCGATTACAGCTTCTAGCTCGACGCTACGCTGTTCTTCAGTGAAATCCCTAGAAGGGTAGTCGGGTTCTCGAGCAACCGCGACCAGTTTGGACAATATTTGTCCAGAAAGTAGGCCAGGTTCATAGTCGTGGGCCGCAGCGCCACCTGGTTGCTGGGAGTTGGTCAGTTCACTACTCTGTCCCTCCATTTTTAACAACCGAACCAAAAATAGCCTAGTAGAGCTTCTGCAGATAGCTCAAGCTGCACCTTTTGGGCAGCAACTGCTAGCTTTGTAGCAGAAAAACACTAAATTAACCTTTGTGCGCACAGGTTTTAGCGTTTTAAGATTGCACGGAATGCCGTGACTGACGCTTAAAATACTATTCCTTTCAGTATTTTAGCAAAAGCTGGTGCGTTGCCGTAGCAACGTCTTACAACACTTGCAGTGTTAAATATGCTAGTTATTCCTTCAGAATATTAGCAAACAGGGTGTTATCAGTCTTTGAGTGAAGGTTTCAGTTAGTTATAATAGCCACTGTGAGTTAAAGTCGCTAAATTAGCAGTTAATTTTAGCCTAAAAGGGTTAGTCAGAATTACTTACACGCTGCACCTTTAATGAGGAACTGAATTTTAACCTAAAAGGTTAGCCAGAATTAATTACACGTTGCACCTTTAAGGAAAAACTGAATTTTAACCTAAAAGGTTAGCCAGAATTAATTACACGTTGCACCTTTAAGGAAAAGCTGAATTTTAACCTAAAAGGTTAGCCAGAATTAATTACACGTTGCACCTCTAAGGAAAAACTGAATTTTTAACCTAAAAGGTCAACCAGAATTAATTTACACGTTGCACCTTTAAAGAAGCACTGAGTTACTGGTGAGAGTTCGATGCAGCTTCCTGCTCAGCGAAATCAGCACCACTCTGTTGCTGGTTCAAGGCTGAACAACGGATTATTTTTAATTCAAGCTCTTTGGATTTATTTGTTTGTTTGTGCCGGATAGAAATCTCTGTGTATCCAAGCCTCACACGGGGCACCAATAAAATGTTGGGGTTATTAGGAGCGAACAATTCGTAAGCTTCAACTTACTTTTGGATTCTTCAATAAATTCTGTAAATATGGGAATATTTACTGATTTATTAATTAATTAAGATATTCTTAGATATACGGGGCACCATTCCCCTTTTACCGGGGAAAAATTGAATCCAAAACTCTTATCAGTCTTTCTTGAAGTTCGTAGAATCCTTGGAGCAGAGACTTCTCTTCGACACAACAAAGCTACTGGGCACAAAAATCTGAATTTTATAACATTTAATTAACAATTTGTCAAATGAATAAACAGTGGAATAGATGAATAATAACCATGTGATATGATTGAAGATGGATGTGTTTGCATGTGATGGAGGATGTATGAATGGGGTCCTTTGTTCTCACAAAGGAGTAGTGTGTGTGTGTGTGTGTGTATGGATTCAAAATGGAGTCTTGAATACAAGATGGCTGACCCCTTTGTCTGGCTAAAGTGTGGGTGGCAACTTGCACTTTAACTTCCAAAGCACTTAGAATCAGTAGTAACTTAACCTTAAATCACTCAAAACATTTCAAAAGATCATGAAACAACACAAAAGATTAATCACGAATAATATCTTTTAGTTTAACCACGTGGCCAAGCAGAAAACATTTAAAGATACCAAACAATGATCAATAAGCAGTTTATTCTTTCAAAATGACCCGACTGACGTGTTTGGGACGAAAGAGGAAAGCACGAAGCTACTTTTTAAGCAATAGACGCGGTTTATTGCTTATTCGAGACTATAGAGGAAACGGGAGAAGGAAAGAATGAGAGAAAGAGATGAGTTTCTGATCACCAGAACAGTGAAGCGTCCCTCACTGTTTTGATTTGACGGTTCTCCGTGTTTCTCCGCAGCTTTCGGCGTCGTCCGTCGGTTTGATGCTTTCTCCGTTGTTTGGCGTTCACGAGTGTTTCTCCACGGGCTGGACAGAGACAGCGAAGTTTCTTTCTGTGCTGAGTTATAACTTACAGCGTGCTTGATGGAGTTGTTGCTTTCCTCCGCAGTTCTGTGTCCTCAAACATCAGCTGGAGGGGAGCAGAAACGAGCAGATCTGATGGGCTTGCAGTTTAGTTTCCAGCAGTTCCGTGGGCTCAACTCGGGCACTTAGAGCTTCCGCGTGCTCAAGTTGTCGGAGCGTTGACAAGCGTGTCCTAACCGCCAGGTATCCTGGGCAAAAGAACGAGGTTTCTTTGTCTCTGCTGAAGATTTATGGTCTTAGTTTGCGGGAAAAGCTCCACGGCTTCCCGCACATGCGCAGAACGTGTTTCTGGTACTAGGCGGTGACATCACCCAATGCTTCCGTGTGCAAAGCATCATGGGAAATGAAATTTCTTGGCGCTGATGTGATTATTTGCTTTTCAGAGCAATTTAAGCACAGTCATTTTGGAGAAAATCACTGCATAGTAATTTCCTCATGAGGTCAGACCCTCAACACTGGTTTTGTTTTCGGATCAACTCATGAAATGAATGAACTTAAAATTTTGTCTACAGCGCTAACTAGCTCTAGCCCAGGAGATGCATATGTAGTGTGTCTTCAGGTCCCACTATGTGTTTCACAGACCCCCAGTTTATGGTTTGCAGACTCTTAGGAGGACTAAAGACCCCCCGTATGAAGGCCACTTAACAAACTGAAGTTTGATAATGAGCCTTCATTAAATTGAAACATCTATCAACTTTGTCTGACCTGCAATAGAACTAAGATAAGAAAATCAGTCCTATTTAAAAAAGCTTGGTATTTTCTTTTCAGAGTCATTTTATAAAGCTCATCTCTATTTGCTGAAATTTGACGCATGTTTTAAAGAAGTGCCATTAAAAATCACGATTTTATTCTCGTAAGTATAAATAGAAATTACTTGGTTGCAGTTTATGATTTGTGCCACTAGATGTCACTGCATACAAATTATATATGTAATTTTTTCTTTCTCTAGAGAATTTGAATAAAAAGACAACATGAAATCTGTAGACACAACAGAATCCTTTTCAAGGTAACACGCTTTATTTAGACCAAAGCGTGCAAAACAAGATGCCAATAAAGGTACAAAAATGCTTCTAACAATGTGAGGACTGTTCAAGGGATTTTCTTTCTGTGCACAAAGCATTTGAATTAAACTGATGGATGGAGAAGGGGGGGGGGGGGCACTTTTAGAAAGATAAAACTCATGAACATTAGAAGCAGATGACAGTTAAGCTGTTTGTTTTGATTTCACCTTTAATCTCCACTACACCAACATTAAATCACACAGCCAGAAAACTGCAAATGATTAACAAAAATACACTCAGAGTAGCTTCACATTATCATCAAATGTTTAAAATGGCTGTAAAGTGATTATCCTGGTGTGAAAAAATAAAAAATAATGCACTAGGTGACCAGAAGTTACTTAAACTCAGAATTTGTCATTCAAAAACAGCTAGTTTTACCTCCTTGTTCAATGTGTCAGATTCTAATTAAAAATGTGTTATTGTTCTACATGGCTTGCCGTATATTCTCCAAACTCTTCTCTATGTTGTCGATGACTTCGACGGCAGCTTGTGGGATCCTGGTTCCAGGGCCGAAGATGGCACACACACCACTCTGATACAGGAACTCGTAGTCCTGCGAACACACACCATCTTGAAGCTAGGTTGCCATATTGACAGCAACTAAATAGAACAATGTGAAAATACAAACATCCTCATAAAGATACAGATGACACTGGGCATCAATCCCAGTTTTAGTTACGTCTGGGCTCCTCAAACTGTTTCTTAACACCAAGTTTCTCCTTTTTATCCAGCCAGCAGATGTTTAAATCTCAACACTCCAGTTTTTAGAGCGGCTGTAAACATCTAGTGTCACTGACATTTCTGACCAAGAACCAGGCTTCTATGGAAACAGGATTTCTAAAAGAACACACTCTTTTGCGTTACCTGTGGTGGGATGACTCCTCCGCAGATAACGAGGATATCTGGCCTGTTGAGCTTCCGCAGCTCCTTGATGAGCTCTGGGACCAGGGTCTTGTGTCCGGCAGCGAGCGTGCTGACTCCAACACAGTGGACGTCTGCGTCCACGGCCTGCTGGGCCACCTCAACGGGAGTCTGTTAGAGCAAAATAAAGAAACATGGCAAAGGTTCAACTCAGACTCTGACTCACCAACAATGAGCAGTCGCTTGTTTGTTTGGAAGGGCAGAATGTGGTCGAAGCGTGAAAAATCACTTAAATTGAGACTCAATAGAGTAAGTTAGCTTTTCTGTTGGATAACACATTGAAGAACATACAGAAAAAAGGAAAATCTTTATGAAGCTGTGCTGAGTCTCTTAAGAGAGGCGCACTTTACTGGTGACATAAAGCGCCTCGTGATTTTTACCTTGAGAGGCGCTATAGAAATGATATTTTCTTCTTCTTCTTCATAACCCAAATCATCTGAGGGGCCAGATGTAGAGACCTAAGAGTAGAACCAGAGAAGGACCTCACTCCAGCCTGTGCCTCATTTGCCAAACCATAGCTTTGAGGATAAAGTTTGGGGTGAAATGCTGAATAGTTGCCTCTTAACACGACTTAACACGGAATCCACGGTTCTTCCCTTCTTTTTAATATCGGAGTAGACTGATGCTGAGGGGGACAATCTCCGATGTTCTTGTGTGTCAGATCCTCTTTAGGTCTTGTCCTCCTTATGGAGGGAATCTTCTCTTTAGGACTAAAGATGCTCTTCTGCTGATTTCTTTGTTCAGATAGTCTTCTCTTCTTACGAGCAGAGTCGTGCCATTCTCTAATTAAACAAGGTCTTAATCCAGTAGCAGAAGACCAAAAATCCAAGCAAGACCTGTGCGGAACCCTTGTTTCAGCAGTCCTCTCAGGTGTTGTAGACTCAGAAACATCTGATTAAGGCTAGTTCTCTGGTCAGAATCAAGTTGCAAGTCCACAAAAGTTTTTCGAAGTGTGCTTGTTCCGCTTTGACATCTGCTCTTGGTTGACCAATCAGCATTCCACGGATTATTTCCACTGGTTTGGACCACTTCTGAGGAAGAACCCACTTGTTTTGGGTCCAAAACTCAGGAGATAATCTGGATAAACTCCCTGTTGCTGTTCGTTTTCTGCCAAGGAATTTCATAATCTCTGCAACTGGGATTCAGTGAAAATCAAAGGACGAGCAGAAAGGCAGCTCCGAGACCAAACATTCATAGATTCAGCACAACGAAGACTCAGGATGATTTCTAGAGCAGCGTACCTCCAGCACTGCTGCTGAGAATTATTATTCCACAGGTAACGAGGATATCTGGTCTTCGCATTAGCTGGCTGTTAGCCAGATTCATGCTGTCACGCTGTTTATGCAGCCTTTGAAACAACCACAATAATCTCTCTGAGAGGCTCGAGATGCGGGTGGGGATCAAAAGGGCCTCTTTGGATCGGTTTAGGTCTCAAAGGCAGAAGCTTTGCAGTGTGCATGGATGAGTGATCTTCTCCCATGTTGCCCCTTCCTTGGGGGGTTCCTCAAGGCTTGAGTTTAGGACCTTTACTCTTCTCTATAAACATCTTTTCACTGAGCAACATTTTCACCAGTTTTCGGATAAACCATCACATATACGTTGACAACTGTCAAATCTACCTCACTGTTAATCCACCTAACGCTGGGCGGACACTGTGCGACTTTTTCACTCGTAGCACTCAGCTTCAGCTCAAACTGTACGACTTCATCGCAGGGCAGATCTCACGAGTCATGCGCTCACACTGTACAACCCACTTCTAGGATGCGATCTGACTGCTCACACTGTACGTCTGGTAGCAACACGTCGGACCTAAAAATATGCTAAAAATAGCAGATTTTACTCAACACATCAGACTTTTTTGTCTTATCTTGCCTGTTGTCCTTCGGGCGTGCTGTCCTCACACAGGGATTTATGGGGGTTGGATGAGGAAAACGAAACAAAGAAAGTAAATCTGTGTTTTGTGATCAGTTTAATTTGACACGAACACGACAAACATGCTTTCTTGACAAACCTTGTGAGTAAAAAAAAACGTGTAGAAATTAAAACGAACAGCGTGTGTTATTAGGGAAATAGCGAGTGAGCGGTGTTTATGCATGATTGAGCATCGCCGTGAGCAGTTCTGATACTTTTTGGGTCGCAGCTGCTCACAGCGCCGCTTCAACAATGCGATACCCTCACGAGGGACGAGCAAAATATCAAACACGCCAGAAGTCCGTGCGACCTCATGATTGCTGATCGGTAGCTGGTGACGTGGTGTTAATCGCCTCTCGTAACCCCCTGTACACTACACGACGCTCAGCGCAAAACTCGCCCCGATCTCGTGGATTCTCGCACGAGTGGAAAATCGGCTCAAAAAAGTGAAAAAGTCGCACAGTGTACGCCCGGCTTTACTCTTTTCAGACAATTTTGGAGGTCAAGAACTGATTCTCTGCTAATTTCCTTCATTTGAATGATAATAAAACTGATGTTACACTTTTCCTCCCAAAAACCAGCACACCACATCGACCGATCTGCCAGCCTTCCATTTCAAGTTAGTTTTTTCCAGCTTTGCTGGTTAATGCGTCTGAAAAATGTTTGAAAATATCACGTTTGGAAACAATCATCCATGCATTCACCACATCTAGACTTGATTATGCCAACTCCACCTTAATAAATAATAAAACTTCACTGAACCATTAATTACTACACAGCAATTTCCCAGCCTGGGATCAATACAGTACATCTATCCATTAGGTCTGGGCAATATGGCCTAAAATCAATATCACAATATATTGAGGATTTCACCTTGACAACGATAAATGGACGATAACTACAGGTATACGCTGAAACAAAAGTTGTCCACTAGATGGGGCTGTCACGTGCATTACATTGAGTCACATTTTTACATGACTCATGGTGGTACAGCTTCTTAAAGGGACATGAACGTTGCCAACCTACAGACATCTTTACGTTTTTTCATGATCAAATTTATTTTCATGGGAACATGTCAATAAGTCAGAAATTTTGATAAAGATACATTTTCGTATTCATGCCCTATCTATCTATCTATCTATCTATCTATCTATCTATCTATCTATCTATCTATCTATCTATCTATCTGTCTGTCTGTCTGTCTGTCTGTCTGTCTGTCTGTCTGTCTGTCTGTCTGTCTGTCTGTCTGTCTGTCTGTCTGTCTGTCTGTCTGTCTGTCTGTCTGTCTGTCTGTCTGTCTGTCTGTCTGTCTGTCTGTCTGTCTGTCTGTCTGTCTGTCTGTCTGTCTGTCTGTCTGTCTGTCATAATGAATCACAAAGGCTAGAACTCTTAGGTTGATGGTAAACCTTTAAAAAGTCTCAAGAGAAGCCATCAGGTATTTAAACGTTTTTGCTAATCCGGGACGTTTAAAGGAAAAAAGCAGGTGATGATATTTGCGCCAAGGTTATTGTTCAATAACAGGAAATCTATGAACCACTGAATAGATTTTAATGAAACCTTCAGGACGTCTTTAATGGATGTGCGTCTAGAGCTCTTTTGCGTTTTCACAAATAAAGAGCTAAAGTTTGGTGTGGTCGTAGCTGAGAGTTAACATATACTTTGAGGTGGTTCAATAGCTCCATGTGTCTCTTTGAAGGTCCTTTGGACATGTCCCACTGGGCGGAGACCTGGGGACAGAACCAGAACTCTGACAGGTTTATTTTTTCTTCCTGACCTGGAAATGCCTTAGAATGCCCCAGGAGGAGCTGAAGAGTGCTGCTGAGGAGAGTGAGTTGAGGGAATCTCTCCTGGACCTGATGGCTGACCCAACACGATGCTTGATCTTACAGAACAAAGGTTATAGATACGACTCCAGTAATGACTTATAATGGCACTGTGTCCCTTTTGTAGTGTGACTAAAGAATGTCTGACATTTTATTGAAACCTCAAAAACCGATGCCAGCTTTTGAAAAAGGCAATCATTTCAAATTGGCTGAATTTCTATAAGAGGCAGAAAGCAATTTCATGTCTATGTTGGACAGCGGAGCAATTTTCCCACAAGCTCTTCCCTAACTGTTCCGGAGCAGCTGCAGCATTTGTTCTTCCTGAGATATTGAACGCCCAGGTATCAGTGGAAAACAGCCTAATGATGTCAACAAAACAGTATTTAAAGGTGTTCTACCATTTTAAACCCCTTTTACCTTATTACTGTTGATAACAGACAGCTTAGGGTAGCAAAAGCATGTCCTCTCTGACCTGCTTTCCTTTGTAAATTAGTAATGTTGTAATAGTCACAGAGAAACGGTTTGCTCTGAGAAAAGCTAGTTAACGTCATAAGCTTGGAAACACCCTTAAAACTGCCACTTCAGCATCAACATTATAGACCCCTTGAATGTTATTGTTTACATCCGGGTAGACAAGCGCAAAGGGCCTCTGCAGCTGCTCCGGAGCTGTGTCTCCATGATTTAAGATGAGAAAGTAAAACCCCGGGATTAAGCTATTGTTACTTAGATCATCGAACACAATTTTGTGCAGAAGATCAAAAAAAAAAGAGAGAAACTTCTCAAAGCTAACAGTGTGTAGCGAAAACCTTTAAGGTCAATTTGAAATGGCTAACGAGCTGTGGCTGCTAGTTCAGTGCGGGGATGTCTACAGTTATTTGATTAACACCCTGGACTTCACACAGCTGAAGCAACAAAGGCGTAACCGGATCTCTTCTGCTTTGTACGAGTTAATGCTGAAGGATCGCCATGACACTGTTCATCTTTGGAGATGAACAGATTATCCGTTTATTCTGACGAGCTCCGTAAAATGAAACACACAACAAACTACATTAGCGGCTGCCCGCTCTACTTCAATTCAATTCAATTCAAATTCAAAGATACTTTATTAATCCCAGAGGGAAATTATAGTTTCAGTACACACAATTCTGAGATCAGACATACATGCATAGGCAAAGACGCATGACAAGAACTGGTGACTGTGGTCATTCGTAACCCGAGTCGTGCTACCTTAATAGAGATCAGAGGGTTTATATGAGGATTGAGTCAGGTGGAGGGGAAAGAGGCACTTCAGAGTTACCCTCCACAGGAAGGGCAGCTTTGCTCTGCAAAAAACACCTCAGACAGAAATGCAACAGACTTCAGACATTACACAACATAAGTGTCCACTTGGTGGGGAGGTAGGGTTCGGGACTCTCCTCACATCAGTGCATACAGCCGCGATGAGCAGCGCTCGTCACCTCCGTTTGGACAGGTGAGGGAGGTAATTGGGCTAGAGGGCACAGTGACTCCTGGAAACGGTTCCACGGCCTTCACCGGTCGCAGTCCCGCCCAGGCTGGGATAGGGAGACAGAGTTGCCATGGCAACGGCAGCATTCCACATTTCTTCTGAGGGGGAGTTATCACTTCAGCCTCACAGGCTCAAGGGCACCAGATTCAGATAAGAACTTGTTTTGGTGGCCAGACAAGAGATAATTTCCTCTCTGTCTTAAAAGTTCTGTTGGTCTCCAACCCCTCTAGATCCAATAATGGCGTAGTTAATCAATCCCAATCCGTGCTGATACGTCAACTCGCTCCTTGATCAAATTAACCTTCTGTGCCAGAGCCTGAATCTCAGCCAAAGTTCCAAGCTTACGACTCATCTCGACAATTATATGAGTTTGTGCGTTCACATCGCGGTGTAATCCATCCCTGAGCTCCGGGATTGAGCCAATATTCCTCGACAGCTCTTTAATTTTCCGGTAAGCCAGATAACCACTCAGCCCAAACAGCACGAAACCTGACACCAACACCACGAATATCCAGAGGTCTTCAGAATCCTCTACAGACAGTTGGGAGAGGCAGATCAGGTTCCACTGTTTCCAGGAGTCCATGATATGCCCAACTGGCTCTGTCCCAGAGGGGCAACCGGGAGCCCCTTCTCCCGTTCTCATCGTTGAAAAAAATCTTGTCAATCGCTTTGAGAGACCAACTGACCAGATCCATTTTAATAATTTCCAGTTTCCAGAAAAAATGCAGAAGCGCCATCCACCCAAAGACAGACAAAGGGCCTTGGGATAAGATAGGGAGGAGAGGAGGAAAAAACGCATCTGTACTCTCCAAGAGCCGGAAGAAGAACTCACTTTTTGTGTAATTATTGTAAAAAGACCTTTACTGCGAGTCACACAGAACTACACACCACACCTGCATTGTCAGTTTCACACACGTTTATTTCTCAGGATTGATCTACTGCTGCCTCTGCTCCCGCCAAGTCTCCCCTGGCTCCTCCCTCCCTTGCTGTCACGTATAATTATATACAAAAGCATAAAGGTGTTTAGATGGCTTTAACTTGTTGTCTGGACATGTGGGGCAGATACATGACTTTTTTATTCTGTCATGAGACTTTGACTTCCACGATGTGGAAGGGTCATCCACTCAAACTCTCTGCAGGACTGTTAGCCCTTGCCTTCGGCGCATTTTATCAGCTGGAAACCTGTAAATTTTACATTACTGTCCCTCTTTCATCTATTTGTTCAGCTTGCAGCCCTGCATGTGTTAATCTTGCTGATGGATTTTATTTTGCCACTATTTAGCTCAATTTATTAACAACTGACCCATAATATCAATGGTGGTCAGTGGGGGGGTGTGCGGTCTTCTTGCCATCCAGCTGGTAGCTGGAGGACAAGTGCGAGTGATGTCATGTGTCAATGCTAGGTCAAGCTATGCTAGCCAGAGCTGCTGCTAAAAGTAGCCCGAGTTTTTGCTAACATTAGTCCAAGCTACTGCTAATGCTAGCCTAAGCTGCTGCTAATGCTAGCCTGAACCATTAATGCTCTTGTTGGACCAGAGGAAAACAACAAAGAAGAATGCTAGAGCAACACTCGCGTTCCAGGATGTACTAGGAATATCCAGACTTTGAATGAATGCTAGATAAATCCGTAGCTTGCGGTCCAATGAATGTGACTCGTTTGTTTGTGTTCAGGGGGCGGGACTGGGCAGGACTGAGTCACAAACTGTGTAAAACACTGACCTGGAACAGTGGTCCAATGTCCACATCAAAGCCCAAGTCTGCAAAGCCAGTGGCGATGACTTTAGCTCCTCTGTCATGGCCATCCTGCCCCATCTTTGCCACCAGGAGCCGAGGGTTCCTGCCCTCTTGGCTTTTAAATTCTGCAACTCTAAAGGAAAAAAAAATGCAACACTGTTTAATACACAATCATCCTGTTCATTGTAAAAGTCATAAAATAAACTGCGGTTACTCCCTACCTGCCGTGGGCCACGGAGATCTCCTCATGCTCACCAAACTCGCTGCGGTAAGCTCCACTCACCATCCTGGTGCTGGCCTTGTGTTCACCAAACACTTTCTTCATTGCGTCAGTGATTTCACCAACCGTGCATCTGCACAAAGACTGCAAGTTTCTGAATGTGTTTTCATGTGATTCAAACGTAAACACACCCTTCATGCTGTCATTGACACTAGTGGCCACATGGTGGCCCCTGTAGCGATAGAATATGACCTCATCAGGAGGTTTTACCTCCAAAAGCCTTCAGAGCTTTGCAGGATCTTGTTTAATGAGGCATTAATTCAGTCGTGTAACATGAAATCATTACATGATCAGCTGAAACTGCTAACCTGACTCGTGCTGCCTCCACAGCTAGAGCCAGGAGGTTCCCCTTCCTGGTTCGAGCACACTCCTCTATGTCCACCAGGCACTTCAGTGCAGCTTCAGCATCACGACACTCCTTCACCTAAATGAGAGGCAGAGAGTCACAAACAAGTCTGCTTTGATGTAAGAGTTGCTTCAGGTGGTCATGATTCAGGTTCAGAGCCCACAAAGGGAGGTCTACTGAAAACCGGACACAACAAAAATCACATATTTTACATTTTACTTTCCAGTTAATCAGTTCATTATTCTGTTTTTCTTCAATGAAGCAAACTTGAACATTTATCAAAAAAGAGAATAAAATTTTCCTTCTAATTTCCCAGAGTGCATTGCGACCTTCTTGGCTTTATTTCCCTAATCCAGCAGTCCTAACCTCGCTGATGTAATAATCATAACGAAAGAGAAGGAACAAGCAGCAACATGTTTTTGTCTGGCTTGTAGTTTAAATGAATATTAGAGCAAGCGAGGAGCTGCAGCATAATTATAATGACTCCGGTCTAAATGAAATGTGGGATGGAAATCTAAAGGAATGCTGTCTAAACTGGATACCATTTAGTTTTAATTCTGATTTAATATTCATACAAGCTGCAAACAAATTAGATCCCTCCTGGGAGAGCTAAGCTGCACCTATAATAGGGACATTTCCTTCCTATTGACCTTCCAATAAACACACTCAGCTCAAAACACTCGCATGACTGTGGCAGCGGTTAGAATCCATTATGACTAACAGAATTTTGTATTATGGGTCAAGCAACACTGATGCATCAGCGCATGTATCTAGCTCATAGGGCGAGACCCCACGTTGATGCGCGTATCGTTTGGGAGTAGTGGCGTGACTGATATCGCTGCTGTTTCGCTTGCCAGTGAAGCGCCAAACTGTGTTTAAATGGTCAACTGGGTGAGTTTCTGCCAAATATACGTCTTTATGAAGCTAAATTATTCCACCGTTAGATCACGGAGCCAGAAAGAACACGAAAGGTCATCTGTGAGGGACGATCTTGTTCTCATATCGGCAAATCATTTATTTGTTTTTATTTAATTGTCTTAATTCAAGTCAATTCAAAAGTACTTTATTAATCCCAGAGGGAAATTGATAGCTGTAGTAGCTCAGAATAATAATAATAATAATAATCAAGTCATTAAAGAGTTATTGTATAGTACAATGGCTGTTGGCAGGAAGGATCTCCAGTAGCGGTCAGTGTCGCAGCAAAACTGAAGAAGCCTCTGACTGAAGACACTCTTCGGTTGTCGGACAGTCTTGTGAAGAGAATGCGGAGAAGAAGAGAATTTCATCCTGTTCCTCCCAGTTTCTGCTTGATTCATCAGAGTTTCATTTCTAAACTGTTCGTTTTACATCATTTATAGTATTTTCTGCAGGTTGCATTCGAACCAAGTCTGCATGAACTTTCGTACATTAATAAAATAATGTTGTCAATGCTGAGACATCATGCATGGAAAACGGACAAAGAAATATGTCCGTCCCGCCGGCTGTCAGAGCGGGTTGGGGTTGGGGGGGGGGGGGGGGGGGGGGGGGCATGGACCGGACTAGCCCAGCCCAGATGGGGTAAACAGCTCACCGAGACTTGGTGCCACTTATGTCTCACTATTAGGTTTTACTGCAATGATGTTTATGATCCCGCAGGTGTCCGTGGACCAACATAGTGACGCGGTATTGATCACTACCTAGGGATGGGGACCGAATTCGGTATTTTTTAAGGTACCGACCGAATTCCACAGTACCGACCGAGCACCGATTCACGTCATTTGAAACGGTGCCTCGTTTCGGTACCCGTCCTTCACAACGAGAACTTGCCTAGACAGCTGCGCATGCGCAAGAGCGTTATGTCGTCGCTCGCTGCGAGCGAGTTGTAAACAGAGCAGCATGGTAGAAAGAACGCACGCTAAAGCTTGGGTCCACTTCACTAAATGTGATGGGCAACTGGGTGATGATGAAACCAGCGACAACGATCTAAGTGAGACATCCTCATCTTAATCTGCTCCGGTAGGTAAATTAAATGTTTAAGATAACGTTAGCTTGATATGTTAGCTTCCGTTTCGCTAATGGTGCGTTCGCTTTCTCCTCGGAACTCCAAATTTCCGACTGGAAGAACATGAACACGCTCTAAAGTTTGGCTTCACTCTACTAAATGCGACGGGTGATTGGGTGAAGATGAAACCAGCGACAACGATCTAAGTGTGAGGCATCATCGTTTTAATCTGCTCCAGCAGCTAAATAAACAGTTTAAGATAGCGTTAGCTTGATATGTTAGCTTCCATTGCCACCACTGTTATCAGCTAATGGTGTGTTCGCTTTCTCCTCGGAAATTCTAACTTCCCAGTAGGAAAAATCAAATGAAAAAGGACGGCAAAAGGAATGAAGATACACAGTAAATTTAGTTCACAGTAAAGATGTTTGCTTCAGTTTAATTATCAGCTTATAAAACTACAAGGACGATGTTAAAATACAAACAGTTGTATGTTATTTATTGTGATATTTATCAAATATGGTTATATATTGAGAAAAATATATATTTAATTATAAAAGAGAATTAAAATATTAAACACTCAAAAGCATGGAAAATTGGTACCGTTAAGTACCGGTATCGATTCCTAGGTACCGGGAATTAGTACCGAATCGATTCAAATGTCAAAGGTACCCATCCCTATCACTACCCATCACTAATAGTAACTTTAGAATTTTAGAGTCGGTCAACCCATTTAAAGATGGCCTCCACAGACCACTGATATACCTGTTCATTTAAAAATATTTAGCTAAAAAGGTTTTTGTGTTAGCAGCTGAGAGTCGCCCTCACATATTACTCCAGGCGTCAACAGAGTGCACAAGATCTTGTAAGGAAGGTAGTTTTCAATCTTTAACAAAAACGGCTAGAACTTCATCGTTTCATCAACGCTGACCTTGTTTAGCTTTTCAATCTGTCTCTGACGAACTGAGGTGTTGTCTATGGCGAGCACCTCCACGGTCTCCTCCTTCTCCAGACGATACTTGTTCACCCCAACAATGACTTCTGACCCTGAAAAGGAAAATATCACTTTGGTTAACTCGTGCAGATTATATCCAAACTCCCAGCTGAAGCAACACTCTCTGGCTGCCTGATTCCTTTTCAGGACACACTGAGCATTTGGAAAGTTTTCACTTTCCCAGATTTTATGTTCCAGCTTCATTACTAAATGGATTCAATTCATTTTTCTTTCTTCACAATTCTACACGACACTGCATAATGACTGTGAAGAGGTTTATTTTAGATTTTTGCAAATTAAATAGAATATTAAAAAACTGAAAGTAAATAGATACATATCCCTATCCTGGCACATCTTCACTGGCTCCCTGTCATTATCAGAGTACAGTTTAAGTTATTGACTTTTGTATTTAAAGCACTCGACCTGGCACCTCCTCATCTCTCTGACCTGCTCACTCCACATGTACCCACGTGCACGTTGAGGTCGGCTGACCTTTTCCTGCCGTGTACGCCGCGGATGCGATGCAAATCGCGGGGTGAACGAGCATTTGTGCATGCTGCCCCACAGCTGTGGAACTCGTTGTGCATTGGAGTTCGGCAGGCTCCATCACTGGCAGTTTTTAAATCTCGTTTAAAGACCCACTTTTACAATTTGGCTTTTAGACAGTGACTCGTTTCAGTGTTTGATTGTGTTCTTAGTATTCATCATGTTTTATCTGCTTTTGATCGGTATTTTTATCTTCTGTTTCAGCTCCTTAGAATGGTGGCGTTTTGGTTTAGCCTGTGCAGCACTTTGGGCAGCTCCCATGCTGCGTTTTAAACGTGCTATATAAATAAACTATGGTATGGTATGGTACAGTGATCCCTCGTTTATCGCGGTAGATGCGTTCCAGACCTGGTCGCGATAGGTGAAAATCTGCGAAGTAGGGACACCATATTTACAGTACAGTGTCAGAACCCAAGTTCCCAGGCCAGCCTCTTCCAGCTAGCCGGCCTCCACTATGGACCACAACTCCCAGCATGCCCCTCACCGGGATTCCCTCCACGTCGCACCTACGTCACAAACCGCAGCTATAAACGGAAGTCGCCTTTCCAGCTCATCACCCAGTCATCGTGTCTTCAGATTCATGATCAGAGTTTCCAACCTACCGATCCATCCCACGAACTATCAGCTCATAGTAAGTTATCTTACTTACTTCTGGAAAGCCCGGCATTTCCGTGTCACTTCGTTGACGCTTGAACGCTCGGGGGTTTCCTAGATTAAATCGTGAGCCGGCGTTTCACGGACACTCTCACTTCCGAGTCTGTGAAACCATGCTCCCTACAAGCTCAACTCCCGAATCCAGCCGACCAGTCTGACATACAGTTCTATATTGAATTATCGTATGATCACATTCTCTTTTTGTGGGTAAAACTCAAGAAAAAAAAATTTTACTTGTTTTTTTTATAGTTTTAATACAAAAAGTGCATTTTATGATGAAATTTATGAAAAAAAACAGGAATTTCTTGATATTTCGCATAGAAAAATACCGCGAATCGGTGAAAAATACCGCAAATCTGTGAATTTCCCTTGAATAGGGCTCTAAAGAAAAAATCTGCGAAGTCGTGAATCTGCGATAAACGAACCGCGAAGTAGCGAGGGATCACTGTATACATAAGAGCATGTGGTTCAGCTCACAATGAGCTCAGGTGTATCCTGTTCTCACCGGTCATCCTTGAGATGTTTCTGCAGCTTAAGGGTTCACCTGTGATCAATTCTACTGATCACACATGATTTGGAAAGGGATACACCTGTCTATAAGGCAAGTTTCACACTGCAGGCAAAAGTGCATCAAATCTGATTTATTTTCCCCACACAAGACCCATATCTGATTTTTTGTTTTTTTGACAGTCTGAAGAGCACAGATCTGATTTTTTTCAAATCTGATCCAGGTCACTTTCAAATGAAGTACTAAATATGGAAGCGACTGCAGTCTGAACTGTCATGTTGCATTTCATCTGCCTCGTACAGCCCTGATCAGCGGAGGCGAGCGTTGTGTGTCGACGTTCCTGAGGAGAAGCACCAACAGAGAGATTCAGGAGTCTGTCTGGACATCCTGTCAAGTTTTGGAATCAAAAACATAGGAAAGCATGAGAGAGGGAGGTGCTGGAGCGAAGCATCTCCCCGGTATTGGTCCCTTGAGGGATGGGGGGGGGGGGGGTGTCTCCATGAATAAACTTAATACAGGAACATTTTCAGTGAACAATAATTTGGGAAGATGGCAAGAATAAGGAGTAACATTGATTATAGTTTTTGAACCTTTTCCAGCCTAAAACGGTAGACGTGACTGGTTTGATCCTGAAATTGAGGCGACGGTGGCACAGGAGTTAAGTGCTCGCACCGTAATCGGAAGGTTGCAGGTTCGAGCCCCGCTCAGTCTGTCGCTGTCGTTGTGTCCTTGGGCAACGCACTTAACCCACGTTGCCTGCTGGTGGTGGTCGGAGGGACCGGTGGCGCCAGTGCTCGGCAGCCTCAACTCTGTCAGTGCGCCCCAGGGCAGCTGTGGCTACATTGTAGCTCATCCCCACCAGTGTGTGAATGTGTGTGTGAATGGGTGAATGATTGTGTTGTAAAGCGCCTTGGGGGTTCCAGGACTCTATAAGGCGCTATATCAAATACAGGCCATTTACCATTTACCATGAACGGGTCAGTGGTCGTGAAGCGTTCACACTGGAGTTTTTGATGTTGAATTTCAGTTAAGTGTGAACAGCCACACGAAAGAAAATTGGATTTACTCAAAAAATTGGAATTGAGCATCAAGGCCTGGAGTGTGAACCTAGCCTTAGGTCCCACAAGTGACAGTGCAAGTCACAAACCGACCACGAAGCCAAAGGAATCATCCGTAGACCTCAGACACACGATTGTCTCGAGGCACAAATCTAGAGAAGGGTACAGACATTTTCTGCTGCTTTGAAGGTCCCAATGAGCTCAGTGGGCTCTAATATCCACAAGTGGAAAATGTTGAAAACCACCAGGAATCTTGCTACACCTGACTGGCTGGTGAATGATCGGGGAGAAAAGCCTTAGTTGGGGGGTAACCAAAGCACGGATGGTCCCTCTTTTAGAACTCTAACGTTCCTCTGTAGAGAGAGGAGACCTTTACAGAACAGCCATCTGCGCTGCAGATCACCAATCAGGCCTGTATGGTAGAGTGGCCAGACAGAAGACACTCTTTAGTAAAAGACACATGGTAGCCTACCTGATGTTCGTCAAAAGCACCTCCTCTCAGACGAGGAGAAACAAAATTCTCTGGTTTGAGGAAACAAACACTGAACTTTTTGGTGTGAATTCCAGGAAGAAGAAGACTGGACAGGATAGAGGGATTGATGAACGCTGCAATGTACAGACGTCCTGGATGAAAACATGCGTGTGAATGTGTGTGTGTGTGTGCATAGGTGAACGTCTGGTTTTGTTGTAAAAGACCTGGCTTTGCGCCATCTGTAACAATTCAATAGTTCAGGACAACTCTGAATGTACTTGAGTGGCCCAGCCAGAGCCCAGACCAGAAACCTTAAAATGACTGCAGCAATGCTTCCCATCCAACCTGATGGAACTCGAGAGGTGCTGTAAGAACGAATGGGCAAAACTACCCAAGGAGGCGTGTGCAAAGCTTCAAAACAATGAATTGAATTCATTTCGTAATTAGGTGCTATAAATACTTTCCGGATGCACTGAAACAAGGTGACACTGAATGAATATCAATGAGATGTGAATAAACCAGACTGAACACCTTATTATTGTTCTGTTGGATCTTTATACCAATATTCCAAAAAGAAGAAATGAGTCTTGTTACAGCTAATTATAGCTGGACGCCCAACGAAACAGAACCCACACGGATAAGGAGGTAGATAATTAGCTTTTGTGTTCGTTTCTGTCTATCGTGCAGAGACAGCTTATTAACAGAGCTCAGATCAGTAAGATTCAAAAGTCTGAATAAATGGTCTAATGTGTTTGAGTGGACTGACGATGTAAGCAGAGTCAGGAGCCGATCATCTCTTCTAGCTGTGCACAATGAAGGTAATGTGTTTATATTATTCATAATTGGATCTGGTTTTGTTTGGTGTAGAACAAATTCAGACGTGTCGGGTCAAATCAGGAAAGTAAATGTATACAACATTTACACAAAAAAGAGCTATTTTACTGAAAACGTGACTAGTAGTAGTTATTTTAAATTACAGTATTTTTACTTCAATAGATTTTAATATTTTCCAGCTAAATGTAAAAATATTTTTTTATAAAAATGCAACATCCATCCATCCATTTTCTGTTTTTGGGATGTGGGGCTGAAATCCTCCGCTACTCACTCACTAACAGTGGTTAGCACTGTTCCGTCGCAGCAAGAAGGTTGCAGGTTCAAAACTCGGCTGCAGCCTTTCCGCGTGGAGTTGAATGTTCTCCCCATGCATGCGTGGGTTTCCTCCGGGTACTCCGGTTTCCCCCACAGATCACAACATGCCCTATAGGTTAAAAATTGTCCGTCGCTTTGGATAAAAGCGTCTGCTAAATAAATAACCATAAACATAAATATAAGGAGGTTGAAAAGTGATAAATAGACCTGTTTCTTTGATTTAGAATATAAGGGACCAAGAAAGAAAGAAAAAAAAATCTACAAAACAATATTCACTCATCATGGATGGATAGATGGATGGATGGATGGATGGATGGATGGATGGATGGATGGATGGATAGTTGGACGAATGGACAAATGTATGGATGGTTGGATAAAGGATAAATGCACAAATGAATGGATGGATGGAATGCTTGATAAATGTACAAATGGATGAAAAGGAAAGATGGATAAATGTACGAATGAATGGATGGATGGGTGGATGGATGGATGGAAGAACAGAAGGAAGGAAGGATGGATGGATGGATGGATGGATGGAAGAACAGAAGGATGGATGGATGGATGGATGGATGGATGGATGGATGGATGGATGGATGGATGGATGGTTGGTTGGTTGGTTGGTTGGTTGGTTGGTTGGTTGGTTGGTTGGTTGGTTGGTTGGTTGGATGGATGGATGGAAGAACAGAAGGAAGGATGGATGGATGGATGGATGGATGGTTGGTTGGTTGGTTGGTTGGTTGGTTGGTTGGGTGGGTGGGTGGGTGGGTGGATGGATGGATGGGTGGATGGATGGACGAACAGAAGGAAGGATGGATGGATGGATGGATGGAAGAACAGAAGGAAGGATGGATGGATGGATGGATGGATGGATGGATGGTTGGTTGGGTAGATGGATGGATGGATGGATGGAAGAACAGAAGGAAGGATGGATGGATGGATGAATGGATGGATGGATGGATGGATGGATGGACGGACGGATGGAGTAATGTACCAGGTGGTCAACTTTCACCTACATATGGACCACATAATGACCTTTCATTTGCAGACAGAAAAACACCATCTGTCTGGACACCCAAATCCAAACAGACCTTTGCCACGGTCCTTGCGGCTGCAAGGAGTGATAAACATTCTCACTCAAGGTCTCCCGCAAAGGTCCTGCAATCTCTGTAAAAGCCAGACTGCCGATTCCTCACCATGAATAAAAATCAAACCTACTTGAAGCTCCTACATGACTTTACAACCCATAAGCTTAGTGTTGAATGAACAAGATGTTTAAATCAAATGTTTGAATAATCTGTGCTTAAATCAATGAATTCAAGATGAATATTGCCCTTACAATGATCCATTTCAGATCTCATCTACACCAGATCAGTATGTGTTTGATTTAACTAGTTAATCAATATCTACACTCATACACATTACAATAAGATACTTGTTACGTGTTAAACACCTTTGTATCTGAAGAAGGAGTGTCTTTGGAGGAATGCTTGGTAAAACCCTCAAAACATGTCAAATTCTGATTTGCCAAAATTTATAAACAATGAGTTCAATAAAGCAAGAATTACTTCCAGATTGATTCCGTTTCTAGCCGACTCTCGAACCGGCCAATTCGGGAACAAGCATCTTTGAAACCATCTCTTTTGCCATCCAGTCAAAATGCCTCTTAAAAGCTAAATAAAAAGCCGATCCCTGTTTCGCTTTAGGCCATTTCCACTTTTGTCAGGTTTTACCTCGTAAAGGAACAAATGAAAACATAACGTTGTATTAAAGATTAAAGCAACGCGACGAGGATAAGAAACGAGACAGGAAACCCAAACTCATGTTAGCGTTTCAGTCTGCAGTACCTGAGTCAATGCGAGCCTGTCTTCGTGCCGCACATTCCTCAATCCGAAGTTTTGGAATCCCCTCTGCCACAGCTTTGGCCATGCCTCCCATCTCTTCGATGTCTTTAATGAACTATAAAACGCAGCACGCCGAGTTACTGGAGTCTTTTAATCTCAAACTTGCATAAAGTCCAAAACGATGTTCAGTAAGCTTCTCTGGTTTGACGAACCTTCAGAGCAGTATTGTAGACGTCATCAGTCAGAGCTTCCATCATGTGTGAGCCCCCCCAGGGATCGGCCACCTTAGGGATGCCTGACTCTTCTTGGACAATGATCTGGGTGTTTCTAGCGATGCGGGCACTCTTCACCGTTGGTAATCCCAGAGCTTCATCAAAAGAGTTGGTGTGTAGCGACTGGGTGCCGCCAAACACAGCAGCCATGGCTTCGATTACGGTACGAATCACATTGTTGTACGGATCCTGCAGAATGAGTGACCATCAATCAGAGTAGGCTACAACTTTACATTTTGTTCAGAAATGGTTTTGGAATCAAGATATTTAAAATAATCGATCAACACTGCAAATTGAAAACAGTGAAGGTTTGTGTTTACTTGCTCTGTGAGAGACCAGCCTGACGTCTGGCAGTGGGTGCGCAGCAGGAGGGACTTGGTGTTCTTGGGCTGGAAGTTTTCTTTAATCAGAGTGGCCCATAACCTCCTGGCTGCCCTCAGCTTGGCTATTTCCATGTAGAAATTCATTCCTATACCCCAGAAGAAGGACAACCTGATAAAACAATGTTAGAACACAATAATCAATCAATAAAGTAATGAATACGTTGAAAAATGACAAATTGAAGGTAGTTCGCTTTGTGAAAGGAGCTTGAACGAAGTTTAACATAAAGTTTGAAATCCTCACTTGCACTCCTTCGAACATTCTTTGTGTTAAAGTGGCTAAATAGCTCAACGTTCCTCTCAAGGGACCATAAAGCCGTTCTACAAAAGGCTTTTGATTTGTCCACATGAGCAGCGGAGGGCGACATCGTCCTCCGCTGCCTGCCAGAGAAGGAGTGACGCCACCAACGGCTACAGTGTTAGCCAGAACGTATCAGCTAAAAAAGGTAAAAACAAATCAATTCTGTGTGTTCAGAAAAGAACCAAACAATGGAATTTGATTTGGAACAAACGTACAAAAGACCCTCGGTCCACGATGACAAGATTCAGTTTTTGGATTAAAGTAGACTTTAGCCTTGGTGGTGCTTGAACATCCAAACTAATTTCATTTCATCTGAGGGTAACGGATTAGGACCTTTTCCAGAATTGTTTGAACTAATGATTCTGGAATCTGAATTTGTAGAAATGGCATAAATACAGTCCTCCTTTGATCTTTTCTCTCTTAACATCCTGAAATGTTTCCAGTTAGAATGGATCTGGACAGTAGATTAGGGTAAATAACATATTTTTATCTTGTCAGGAAGAGAGAAAATGTACAATAAATTCAGACTTGTGCACCAGTCGATGCTTTTAAACTCATTCCAGCACGACAGACGAACAGTTCAAATCAGTCGTGGAAGTTTAATTATAAATCAAAGGTGGTTCTAACAGCACGGAGAGGAGGCAAAGTCATAGGCTCCTTGTAAATAAAGGACAGTATCTTTCAACAACTTTAGGCACAACAGGAAGCTCCAGAGGCATGTAAGTAAGTGAGAGTCAATCAGCTTTAAAGGATAAACGAAACGGGGGAAAACATCCAGTTAACACGAGTGAACGAAGAACCAAAGGTGCACCAATGGACGTAACTGAAGGAAGACAGCAGAGAGGAAAAACGGGAAGGGGAAAAGCAGTAAATTAAGTTTATTTTGATTTCATTGATTGTTTTCTACAGCAGCTGGGGATGAATAATCAGATTGTGGAAAGGAGTCACTGAGGTGGTGCTTTGTGAACCATGTATGTGCTTTTAAACAGTAATTTGTCCAGTTTGTCAGATTCATTTTCACATAGATTCTGTATTTGTGACGGGATTCCTCCTCATCAATGGACAACACCTGTCCAGACTCCAGAACCGATGGCCTCTGATTTCTTAAAGGGACTTTACGGGCTGTTGAATTTTTATGCTCGCGATTGCCCCCTCAGGCCAAAAGTTACGGCAGCTTCAATAGTAGGCTCGTGCACGAGACGCGCATGCTGTACGTGCACACTCCTTAATGAAAATAACAGCTGAGACAGTCCCGTGTGCGTGCGTGTGTGCGTGCGTGCGTGCTTGTGGCCCGGAGGACTGAGGACAGGAGAACGCACAGCTAATTAATTAAATAATTTGGTTCTGTACCTTTCTCTTCAGCACAGCCGACAAAGGTTTATGATGGGTCAGTCCTCCTGCATGCTCAGATCATTCCCTTCCCTTGCTTGAAAAATTGTTCCAAAATGAAAGTTGAACCCACATCTTTTTTATCTGTGAATTCAATGCCGTTCAGCGAGTCTCAAATAAAAATTTGGGCATTTTACTGTAAAAAAAATATACCATAATGTAAAAAAGAAACTCTAAATAAACTATGTTCACATCCAGAATCGAACCCAGGTCTTCTGCATGGGAATCAGACATCTTACAAGGTGAGCTAAAGCGCCAGTGACGTCCTTTATATCTGTAACTTTTATATCCTTGATGACAGCTGAAACAACGTTCAAAGAACGGTTCGGAGCGAAAATGGCTATTTTGTTGCTAATTTGCAGGAAATATCTAGAAGAAAGTTCTACAGAAAGTAGCTAAGGGTCCTCAGAAATGTAGCTAGCTTTGTCACTAGGCGTTAGGAACAGCGACAAAGTGGCACTACCTCTCTCTCTGCTGCTAAAGCTACGGATAGCAAATGCTACGGGCGATGCCTGAGCGTGAACGCGCATGAAGCAGCCTGCTCGACCCGAGCAGCTCTCTTTTTCTGTGATTTTACAGAAAAACAGGCAATCACAGTAAAAATGCCAGGGCTCATTCTACAGGACCAGGGCATTGCAGGAGAATGTATGAAGAAGACATTTATTATTTTGGCTGTCAAACTTCCATAATGTCCCTTTAAAGATTCAAGCATAAACGTGTTTGTAAAGACAGCTGCTGATACGTTTAAGACGTTTTTGTTGCACTTAGTGAAACGACTCTCTAGTCCCGCCTGTTGTATTTGCTGATTGTTTTTTTCTGTTTTCCCATCTTTTCTGATTGGATTTTCATTACTGTGAATTTTCATTGTCGTCTTTTATTTGACGATCAATATTTGTCATATTTGCGTTGGGAGGTCAAATAATATTTAGTCTTTATAAATGTATATTTATTAGTTTTTGTTTAGTTTTTTTAAAAAGGTGCAAAAAATTTCTTTGTCATGAACAAAAAAAGAAAATATTTTGTAAACAAAATTAACACTGGCTGTATGCTGATTGGCCAGTTTACCTTGATGGTTCTGAAACCCACTGATTATGACGGCAGCGATTAGCTTATATATTATGTTTCATGTATGTTAATAGTAGTGGAAAGCCTGCATTACCCTGGCTTTTCACCTGATGCTTCACATCTGAAACAATCCCCGTACAAAGAGACACAACGCTGAGGTCAAAGTAAAAGCGTGTCTGTTATGTTACGCATCTGGTGGTAAGCCCAGGTTAGCAGCACAGTTTTCCCATCACTAATCTTTCCAACGTTTGGGACGGTTTAGAAATGTTAGTTTTCTGTAGAAACACAAAGAGTCTGAACAGGAAATGTAGCAAATTATCAGGACATGAAGACATTGTAAAGAGTTGGAAATTAGGATTTGAATGGAAATTACGAAGAGCCTTTGAGACGTCCAAGCTGTTTTGGAAGGAAATCTAATAAGATTTCACCCACCAGCACCCAATCCAGAGATTGTGGAGATAATAGTTTGGTTCTTGAAGCATCAGCAGTTGGATTTTACAGGCTCAAAACAGACAGGAAGAAAACCCTCTAAGTCAACGCTTGTGCTCAGAAAGTCTGTTCATTGTGAGAAATTTCCTTTTAAAAGCACTTGATCTTTCACTTCCATCCCATAACAGAAAAATTACTCAAGAAAAAATCTAAAATACGTCAGACTAGGGATGTGTACCTTTGACATCTGAATCGATTCGGTACTAATTCCCGGTACCTACGAATCGATACCGGTACTTCACGGTACCAATTTTTGATACTTTTGAGTGTTTCATATTTTAATTCTCTTTTATAATTAAATATATATTTTTCTCAATATATAACCATATTTGATAAATATCACGATAAATAACATACAACTGTTTGTATTTTAACATCGTCCTTGTAGTTTTATAAGCTGATAATTAAACTGAAGCAAACATCTTTACTGTGAACTAAATTTACTGTGTATCTTCATTCCTTTTGCCGTCCTTTTTCATTTGATTTTTCCTACTGGGAAGTTAGAATTTCCGAGGAGAAAGCGAACGCACCATTAGCTGATAACAATGGTGGCAATGGAAGCTAACATATCAAGCTAACGTTATCTTAAACAGTTTATTTAGCTGCTGGAGCAGATTAAAACGATGATGCCTCACACTTAGATCGTTGTCACTGGTTTCATCTTCACCCAATCACCCGTCGCATTTAGTAAAGTGAAGCCAAACTTTGGAGCGCGTTCATGTTCTTCTAGTCGGAATTTCGGAGTTCGGAGAAAGCGAACGCACTATTACCGAAACGAGGCACCGTTTCAAATGAAGTGAATCGGTGTACATTCGGTACTGTGGAATTCGGTCGGTACCTTAAAAAGTACCGAATTCGGTACCCATCCCTACGTCAGACTAAATTAAAGCAGCACAGATTGTCGATACCCAACAGAACCATTGAAACTAGGATGTCAAGTACCTTGGAGCAAACTCATCGATGGTCAGACCTGCTTTCAGACCCGTTCGACAGTACTCCAGACCGTTAGCTATGGTGTAAGCTACCTCTAAGATAGCATCGGCACCAGCCTCCTGAAGATGGTAGCCACTGATGGATATGGAGTTAAACTTGGGCATGTGCTGTGGACACAGTAACGCGTTTAATCATCGTAACATAAGAATAATACTTTGTAACCTACTACCTTTTGTCACATACCTTAGAGGTGTAGGCGAAAATGTCTGCAATGGCATGCATGGAAGGCTCCGGGGGGAAAATGTAGGTGTTTCGTACCATAAACTCTTTTAAAATATCATTCTGAATGGTGCCAGTTAGTTTTTCCTTTGGAACACCCTGCTCCTCCCCGGTGACAATAAACATGGCCAGCACAGGAATGACAGCTCCGTTCATCGTCATGGAGACGGACATCTTCTCCAGGGGGATTCCGTCAAAGAGCATCTTCATGTCCTCCACCGTGTCTATAGCTACTCCAGCCATGCCCACGTCACCGTGAACCCTGGGGTTGTCTGAGTCATAACCGCGGTGCGTTGGGAGGTCAAAGGCCACAGACAGACCCTGCTGACCAGCTGAAATGGAAAAATCAGAAAAGGGAACGGATTAAAGACAGAAAAAAAGATTCTGTTCATTTTTGCCCCGCCTGTGTGTTTTAAGCAGTCTCCAACCACCATTGCTGCCTTTGAGCAGCAGAAAGATTAGTTTAATCAGATGCTGCCACCTTCTGTCAAAACACTCGAACATTAGAAGAGTCATGGAAGGTGATGCATAACTTTATAGTCTCCACATGTCTTAAAGATTAAGGCAAATTCTTTGGACTGTATGTCTTCTTAAAGACATAAGAGTACGGTTTTACAAATAGATCTTATTTAATTACTCTCTCAGCAGTTTGAGGACTGCTGAAACATTTTAAGTTATTTTTATTTATTTGTTTAGTTATTGTTTGCAAACTGTTAGATTGTGAAGTAGTACCTCTTACTTATCACTGCAGATATATTGAAATACACTACTTGAGGTATATCTACAGCCATCAGGGAGCCACTTTACATTATTCTATATGTGTGCGCTATATACACCTGCACATCCCAGTTTTTTTTCTGCCTTTGACAGTAGCTGTTAATGTATGGAAAACATGGTTAGCATAGCATAAAGAAATGCACAACAAAGGACGCGCTAGAAAACACTCTTTTTATGAATAAATCAAAGTTATGACCACAATCTATTTCACTCATTAATATTCATGATATGCAAGCATCTCGCCTCTGATTGGTTAACAGAAATGTGACTTTTCCGCTGCCTCGGCACACAGATGCAGGCAAAAACAGTATTGCCCACCTTTCTGAAAAAAAAAAAACAAAGCTGTAAAGAGATCTTTTCTTTTTCATGAAAGGAATCTTGTGTTTAACCACCACACAGGGGTAAGTTGTGTTTTACCAATTCTACACCTGTCTAATCATTCGGTGGTTATCTTTAACCTCTACTGTGTAGGGTCGTGCAAAGCTTGTCTACCTTTGTGGGGTCTTTTTTGCTGCAAGACAACAGAGCTAAGAACTGTACCACTATGCAGCCCACACCTATCTATTAAACAGCATTTGATCCAAATATCCAGTCACCTTTGAGTCCCCAGTAATGTGGGCTTTATGTAAATTATCTGAAGAATTTTGGGTCTAAACTCTTTCTTTACAGTTAAAAGCTAAATGTTAGAAGATTGAGGCTGAATACTCAGACCAAAATCAACCCAAGCAGCACTACCTGAACAATGATGCAGATGTATGCACCCTAAAATTTCTCGTCAGCAAAAAAAAATAAAAATCAAAGATCTACCTTTAATGTTATCTTTATAAAACTTGTTGCTCTCCTCCACGGTGCTGAAGCCGGCATACTGTCGAATTGTCCAAGGTCTGTAAGTGTACATGGTGGGGTAGGGCCCTCTAGTGTAGGGAAACACTCCCGGCAGTTCATCAGCAAGTTTTTCTGAGTCTTTCTTGGTGTATACTGGTTTGATGTTGATTCCCTCTGGAGTGTGCCAGATGAGGTCTTCTGGGTTCTTTCCCTTCAGCTGTTTCTTAGCCAAGCTGGCCCACTCTGGGTGCAGCTCAACCCGGTCCGGACGTGCTACTGAAGTGTGAACTTGAAAGCCGTGTGTGTAAGACAATGGAGCTCCAAACAAGCTTCGTACAGCCAGTGCTGCACATGCCCTGTGTGCCGTCAGCATCCTGGATACAGATTCAGTCAGACAAACATGGATGACCTGCAGGAAAAGATGACATATTCATTTACTACATGAGTTCACACTGTCACCTAATAATTACTTTGCGAAATTAAAATAATATCAGTATTTGTTTTACAACAGAAATAAACCAAATTCCTGTCACTTTTAATGTTTAGTGGCACATTTTTGGGTTTTCCCTTCCTTTTCTTGGACCTGGTAGTTTCACATGTGACCACAGCAGCTAAATAATCCTGAAATTTGGTCAACTTTCCCTGAATCAGCAGCCTCAAACTCTCATGCATACAGGTGCTGGCCAGTAAATTAGAATATCATCAAAAGGTTGAAAATATTTCAGTAATTCCATTCAAAACGTGAAACTTGTACATTATATTCATGCAATGCACACAGACCAATGTATTTCCAATGTTCATTACATTTAAATTTGATATTCATAAGTGACAACTAATGAAAACTCCAAATTTGGTATCTCAAAAAATTAGAATATTCTGAAAAGGCTGAATATAGAAGACACCTGCTGCCACTCTAATCAGCTGATTTACTCAAAACACCTGCAAAGGCCTTTAAAAGGTCCCTCAGTCTTGTTTTGAAGGCACCACAATCATGGGGAAGACTTCTGACTTAACAGCTGTCCAAAAGACAATCATTGACACCTTGCACAAGGAGGGCAAGACACAAAAGGTGATTGCTAAAGAAGCTGGCTGTTCGCAGAGCTCTGTGTCCAAGCACATTAACAGACAGGCGAAGGGACGGAAAAAATGTGGTAGAAAAAAGTGTACAAGCTCTAGGGATAACCGCACCCTGCAGAGAATTGTGACGACAAACCCATTCAAAAATGTGGGGGAGATCCACAAAGAGTGGACTGCAGCTGGAGTCAGCGCTTCAAGAACCACCACGAGGAGACTCATGAAAGGCATGGGATTCAGGTGTCGCATTCCGTGTGTCAAGCCACTCTTGAACAAGAAACAGCGCAAGAAGCGTCTCGCCTGGGCCAAGGACAAAAAGGACTGGACTGATGCTGAGTGGTCCAAAGTTATGTTTTCTGATGAAAGCAAGTTCTGCATTTCCTTTGGAAATCAAGGACCCAGAGTCTGGAGGAAGAGCGGAGAAGCACAGAATCCACGTTGCATGAGGTCCAGTGTAAAGTTTCCACCGTCAGTGATGGTGTGGGGTGCCATGTCATCTGCCGGTGTTGGCCCACTCTGTTTCCTGAGGTCCAGGGTCAATGCAGCCGTCTACCAGGAAGTTTTAGAGCACTTCATGCTTCCTGCTGCTGACCAACTTTATGGGGATGCAGACTTCACCTTTCAACAGGACTTGGCACCTGCACACAGTGCCAAAACCACCAGCACCTGGTTCAAGGACCATGGTATCCCTGTCCTTGATTGGCCAGCAAACTCGCCTGACCTTAACCCCATAGAAAATCTATGGGGTATTGTGAAGCGGAGGATGCAATACGCTAGACCCAACAATGCAGAGGAGCTGAAGACGACTATAAGAGCAACCTGGGCTCTCATAACACCTGAGCAGTGCCACAGACTGATCGAGTCCATGCCACGCCGCATTACTGCAGTTATTGAGGCAAAAGGAGCCCCGACTAAGTATTGAGTGCTATACATGCACATTCTTTTCATGTTCATTCTTTTCAGTTGGCCAACATTAGAGAAACAAACATTTTTTCATTGGCCTTTAGAATATTCTAATTTTCTGAGATACCAGATTTGATGTTTTCATTGGTTGTCACCTATAAATATCAAATTTAAATGTAATGAACATTGGAAATACATTGGTCTGTGTGCATTGCATGAATATAATGTACAAGTTTCACGTTTTGAATGGAATTACTGAAATATTTTCAACCTTTTGATGATATTCTAATTTACTGGCCAGCACCTGTACACTTCCTGTTTATCACCAGCTTGTTTTCACTTTTAAGAGTTTGAATGTAGCGTCGCAAATTTATATAAAGTGTAAAAGCAAAGCGATAGAAATGAGCATGTTCCATTACATAACAATAAACAAACTCGAAAATAGCTAAACAGGTTTGCGTGGGTGCGTTTAAATTAAAATACGCATTTCTGAAATAATTTAACAGCTGCAGCGTTACCTAAGCTAAATGTTTTGCAGCTCTACATAAAAACAAAGAAGACATACATAAGAATAGGCAACAATAAGAGACACTAATTCATAAATTACGCTTTCATGCTGCGAATAAATGACATTTCAGATTAAATAACCAACTGTGACATTTTAATAAACAAATAAAAGGAAAGCTAATAGCATAAAGCTAACTATAGCCACTTGTTATAGAACAATAATTGTTTCAGTGCATTAGCTACAGGAGCTAAAAGAAACCTATGGGAAATGACTATTTAACTATTTGGTTTTGTTAAAAAGCGAAAACAATTTCTGACCTTGTAGGTTATTTAGTTTGTTGTGGTCGCTCACGCTGATGTAAGGCGTGTATTTTCCTGTCCAATCAAACTTGAGAACACTGACAATAAGCCAATTGCAGGGCGGTATCGTTACCTTTGACCTTTGCACCGGAAGTAAACATGTTTATTGCAGTTTTTCGTTAGATGTTAATTTTCACTACATATATAATATATATAAAATATGTATATACATATAAATTATATATAAAAAAACATAAATAAAAAAATATATCTAAATAAATTTTAAAACTATATATGTAACTAATATATATATATATATATATATATATATATATATATATATATATATATATATATATGAATTGGTGTTTAGAACAGTAGTCGAACACCCAATGAAATGGAAAGGTTTTTCCACTGAGTGTAAGTAAATAAAGTAATGGAATATGTAATAGTATATATCTTATAGCAGTCTTTATTGTGCACTAAAGTGAAAGTATTGACTAAAGTCCTAGGATTATAGGAAGATCTTTACAGTTTTCAACAGAAGGCAAGATAAATAAGTAAAAGATTTGTGCTTTTTCTGGTATGCGCCACTAGATGGTGATAATGGAGTTTTTTTACTCAAACATTACTTAATGCAAGACACAGATGTTCCAACACAGTACATGCCATTTTATTCAAGAAGTGGTCAGAAAACTGTTGCAGTAGTAATGGCTCTTCGTAAGTGCTGTACAGCATTGGCTTAAACGTCAAGGGTACAGTAAACGTGCTTATAGGTTATAAAATAAACCAAACAGCAACGATTTAAGCGTTTTCAGCAGAACAAGCCTTCATCCAGGTGGCGATGCCGACAGTGGTATATAATGCCCAGATAATGTACAGAGAGGACATGTTGTCTCTTGAGCGTGTGTGTGTACCCGTCCCCTGTGGTACAAATTCTAAGGCAGTTTAGATTCCAATGCAAATGCTGATTTTCGTCTGCTTAAAGATTTTTCTTTCTAACAAAATCTACATGAGATGAAACTCAAATAAGCATAAGTAGAAACCAAAATGTGTGCATGTGTAAAAGTCTTGCAGGGTGTGAAAGTCACCAAGCAGAATCTACCATGAACAGATAGCAATAAAGCAGCAGAAATAACACTTAAATACCGAACTGAACGAGACTGTAGAAATCAAAATGAAAGAGGAGCAGATTAAAAGGTAAAAGGCAGCGACTGGGTATGGTCTCCCTGTAGGAACAGGATGTGGCGAGCGCAGCCTCCATCAGCCTTCAAACTGTGAGCGGCTGTCACTCGAGCTTGAGCAGCTCCACATCGAAAATGAGCGTGGCGTTTGGTGGGATGACCCCAGGGTGGCCTGTTGCTCCATAAGCCATATCTGGTGTGCAGGTGATTTTAGCCCTCTGGCCAAGGCTCATCTGAGGTAAACGAGAGAAAGAAAACATGTCTGGATGATGTAATGATGTGTTGGAAAAAAGAAAAAGAACAGACCCAGTTCATCCTGTCAAGCACAATTTTAAAAGGCATTTTAGGCAAACCACTCAACAAAGTAGAAAATCCTGGCAGAATGAGGGCAAAACACATCACAACTCATGACAAGTCAAAAACTATGACTTCACTAATATCGACTACCGCCTCCAAATGATCTGGAGAAAAAAAAAAACTAACTGCACATGCTCTCGGTTAGACATCGGCTTCAGCAGCTGCTCTTCTCTGCTTTCATAGCACATCTGTCTTATCCGTATTTTGTTTATGTAACTGATGGACTAAAAAGGAACATTTAGTTGGAAAATTTCATGTGGTTTCATCTAATGTCTGAACATTACGAAAAAAATATTTGAGTTTTCTTTTCTTTAATACCTCTATGAATTTTATAGCTTCATGTGCGTACGTGTGACAAAACACATTTTGGTGAAGAAAGGAGGCTGGTCCACTCACGTGAGTATTTATTAGATGCAAATAAAATCTACTGCTAACATTTTGTTAAGTTTGTTGCTCTGTGTTCAGAAAAGAACCAAATAGTGGAAGGAATACGAACGTTTCAACGATGTAGATGTCTTTTTCAGAGCAAAGAGAAGTAGTAGGAAGAGAAAACTTGTTTCAGTCTCATAAGATTTAATCACAGCTGAATAGGGGCCACGGTGGATCAGGAGTTAGGAGTTCGCCCTGTAGTTGTTGGGTTGCCGGTTCAAACCTGGGCTCAGTCCATGCCAGTTGTACTTGTTAAACAGCTTAATGAGACTGGTGCTTGGAAATCATGATTTAATTAATAATTTAAATAATTATGATCATCATTTGTTGCATAGTTTAATGGCTTTATCTAGAAGCCAAAGAGCACTAAATGCAACCATCATGTAACTAGAGTAATTTGAGGAGTAAGTACCTTGTTTTAAAAAACAATGGCACCAGTTTGCCACAAAGCGAAGGTGGTACCAGGGAGCCTGTAGCGGCAATGTGGCACGATCATGTGTTTTTCATAAAAAATTACTCGATAACGGTATAAAGGGGGTGTAGGGGTGGTGTCCGCGCTGTCACGGACATCCTATTAGCTTGGACGTTATGATCTCGACACACGGGAGGCGACATCGCCTCTCCTCCATTCATTTTCAATGAGACATGCGCGACAAAGCGATAATCGCGGGTCTCCCTCCTACCAAGCGAAACGCGAAAAACGTGCGTGTGAAATTTTGCGCTCGGGCACGTGTCGTGCACAGGCGACGCGATCCCAGAGAGTTTAAACATTTTCAACTTTTCATCGCTGTCGCTCAGACGAGGACCAATCAACAGAGGTTTCATTCACTGACCAATGAGCGGACAGGATGCTCCGTACATCTCCGAGCAAACATGAAGAAGTTGATTATTATTATGTTTTATAGTAAAATCACAAGTAAGATTTCACATAACTCTAGCAGCACCTTGTGAAACATCATATCTACCACTTTATTAACTCTGAACCGCTTAAATAACCTTAATTCCCTCCAACCTGACACAGCCAAACAAAACAAAGGAAGTTTCGATTTCGCCATGGAACAGAACGCGTAGACGGCTTTGCCGCTGGCCGCTGCCGCGGATCGCCTCCCGTGTGTCCGGTAATAAAAGCGACAGCGACTAATTTCGCTGATGGCGGTCATTTGTCGCCTCCCGTGTGTCGAACCCATAACTTGTTTTTATTCTGCAGCCACTCTACTTTTTTCAAAAGCCACTCTAAACGGTGGCTGTCCACGGCCCTCATGAACTGTCTGGTGATCTGTTCTTCAGCTCTAAAAGCCAGAAGCTCCCAGATCTCTGCATAGCTCCAGTTTGTCATCTCAGCTGATACCGTTTACAAACGTGAATGGGACTCCCCACAATGACTTGAATTTTAAATATTGCTACTGACAAAGCCTCGGCGGACATGCCATGTGTGATCATCACCCTCTGTTGTGCAAAAGGTGTGATCTTCATTCAAAATTTCAGCTTTACTGTAGTATTTCTATCAAGCTTGGTGGCACGAATTGCACAACGTTTTCGCCTGACCACCACAGCGCATCCAAAGGACCCACCAGGTCAGCAGTATTACTCCGATATGGCGCCACCATGCGTTTTTGAAAGCAGCTAGAGGGTAGGGCCTGATCGGTGTAATGTACGCAAAGCAGCGGGTAAAAAAAAATAAATCAAAATCAAAGGTACATTCTACCTTGATAAATGGATTTACAAATAGTTGAAGGTATGGAAATGTAAGGGTATGGCAGGTGAGAAGCATATGGGCATTAACTGGGCCCTTGAGAGTCCAGAAGTAAGTTTACTTTTGCACCAACGGATCTGAGGTTTTAGAAGACATGCACCAAAGGCTACAGCTACAAAGTGGTGTGATCTCAACAAGCAGAAAAAGTAAGCAGAGCCACACGAATAAGAAACTACTAAACTAAGTGCTAGAAAAGTTCTTCTATACAAATATTTTCCCTTGGACAATAAAAGTTTTACATGATAGAATAATTTGTTGTCAGAAAGACACTAAATATGGCAATCAAGTAAATAAACATTCAGGTGTTTAATGCAAAAAAGATTACAATAAAACTTGCTCTTACCTGTGCTACTCCTTCCTCCCATCCCTTAATAACCTCACTTCGTCCAATCTTGAACTTAAACAGCTTGTTCCTGTCTCGAGAGGAGTCGAACTTTTTCCCATTCTGTAGCATACCTGCCAAAGAAACAAGGCACAAACGCACTTTAGAGACCACAACTGTTTGAGGACTTGTACAAAGGTACTAGCTCCTAGTCGTCCTGGTGGTGTTTCTTTTCCTGGTTTGGTTTCATTGAACAAAGGCTATGTGAAGGGGAAACGCGCTGGCCTGGTTTTGTGGATTGTTTTTGAAGTTAACTGGGCCATTACTTGCATGTATCTAGACCACTGGGAAAAAGGGTGAACAAAGGCAGCGCAGGACTCGTCTCCTTCTTAACTGTGACCATTCAGTCAGGTTTGATAACACTGAGGCCATGAAACACTCATCAAGAGGCAGGAAAACACTGGTTGGCTTCATTAGCTGTTTTAACAACTGGAGGGAATCACAGACACAACGTAATGTTTTTGCTCCTCTGATGTCTCGTGAACTGGCTGACCCCTTTTGAAAGGCAAGAAATAAAAACAATTCAGTACTTCAAACACAGAACTATTGTTCCTGTGAAACATGTCGGTATGGAAGAAGACCCCAACGAAAAAATATTCCAAGAATTTTAGCTCAGGCATTATGCTTTTGGGACCATAACAACTGGGTAAAATAAAAGGTTGGTTTTAAATGGCTTCAATAGACACAGGATCTTTTGTAGAGGATTGTGCTTTTTTTGTCTGTTGACTCCTAAAACTCATCTGTGAACCATTCAAGCATAAGGAAAGCACCACACCCAAGAGATAAACCTGTGTTGTGTCTACATGACACACGATTTGGCAAAGAATCACATTCAAACTGTTACATGAAAAAGTTTAGACAAGCTATTTGCTTAAATGGGCTTAGGTCCCTTTACTTATGATTAGTGGGTCCAGATAAGTGTTAGTAGGAATTTATACGCCTTGTTACCTGAGGAATTAAGCTCTTCCACACTGTGGTTGTTGACTAGAGTATCACCTCTATTCAGATGGCAGGAAATTAGACAACACCTATTAGGTGACCAGCCGTTGTTACATCTCCAGAGGCCAAAGTAGTGAAGGAACCTTTGAATGGGTCAGTCGTGTCTTTGCACCAGCCTGCATCCAGGTACCATGTCCTGGCTGGAGTACTCTACAACATGTTTTGCTTCATGCCTTGAGTGTAATTGCGATTGTAAATAAATAATCACATCTATATTTCTTGTATAACAAAATGGACTTTGCCCCCACACGTCATTTTCTGCACATCCATTTCTGGTGAGCTGGCTGACTTTTCTTCAAAACAGGAAGTCAAACTGCTCAAGGATGCTCCTGATTTCCTGTAACAACTTTGTCGTGCACTTACATGAGCATGTACATTTGTCATGAGAAGGAACAGCAGTTTTGTTGAGTGCCACCATACTTCAAACTTTAAAATGAGGCCAATTTTCAAGAGAAACTAAAGTTGAAAAACTTTTGCCTTAGTCTCTTTAGAGGACAAACTATATAGAGACAACTCCAGGGGTGTTTCTCAATGTCAAGGCGCCTGGCCTTGCGAGGCGATGTCTTGCGAGGCCAGGCGCCTTACTTACGAGGACACTGTCCTTCCTTGGTCAAAAATAAATAAATAAAAAATAAAAGAATAAATGTTAAATGGAACAGACTTGCATAACGTGACCTCAGCTTCCATGGTGGTCACGTTACGTCACGTGACAAGGGAGATAACGTTATATTTTTTATGTATAAGTTTCAATATAAATATATAATGAGCCTTTTACTTTTTAAATTGTGTATATATTTGTTAAATTAAATATATAAGCGAGTTACTACCTGCTAGCCACTGAAGCTGCAATTAATAATAATAATAAGCAATTAACCAACCATAGATAACTTCTTTGGATCTAAAAAAAAAACATTTTAAATTATCTGACTTACTTATAAACTTGAAATTTGCCCCTAAAGTAGCTGCCGGCTTCTGATCCACCATCCTTTTGAAAATACTGCACTGTATTCTGGGTAATTTTTGACCAAGGCTAGACTACAACACACCTCCCGTGTATCCTTGCTCAGCTAGCTAAATGGCTAACAAATGGAGAAAAGAGGCCTCAGTAGAACATGAACATTGGAACACGTCCTGGCGGTTCCTGATGACGTATTTCCTAGGCAACCGGGGCGGGGCCAAGACATCATGGCGAGGTTCCTTGGCGTTGATTAACACCCCAGGCTTTTGCGTAGGAACGTACAAGACTTTTTTTTTAAGACAACTGTGGCACATGTGTATTTCATCTATACATTCAATGAACTTAGCTTTATATCAATTTGATTTACCCATTTATCAATGTCAGCAAAAACATTAATGTTCTGGTTATAGTTTACTTTTAACATGTATTTTAGTCATGTTTCCAGGAAATGCTAGCCTAGCTATCTAGACAGACTGTAGCATAAGTAAAAGGCCAGTCTAGGCACGCTTCATCAGAGCGTCAACAGTGTCGTGTCTTGCTAATCACAGCGCTCTGTCGATTTGGTGGGCAGGATGTTACTGCAACTGGGGAAAAAAAGGTTGGCGTCGGCTTGTTTCAAACTGCTTTGGCAACAACTTTGGACTATTCTTCGAGTCGATAGCAGAGAGATACTTGAGTTCTTCGTTTATGGTTGCCTGCCCTGTTGACTGACATCGCTAGCGATGAACGCATCACGTTTGTTGTTCAATAACATGTGGGACCCACAACTGCACTCTCCCTATGGGTCGTGGCCAGACTATATATTCACATATGTAAGATGGCTTGCCAGGTTAAGGAAATGCTGCTTCAAAAATAAACTAATCTGAAGCATCCACCTGTGTTATGCCCTGCGTTGGTCTTTTGATTTGTGTTCCTTTGTCGTAATCCAACAAGTGTGAATATTTGGCATTTAAAGTTGGTGTCAGTTGAAGTTTGGTTACGGTGTCTTCCTCATCAAGTCACATGAATGTTGATACTGTACTGCTCCTCTTCTTTCGTGGGCCCTAAACTTAGCAAGTCCATCATTTCCAAGAACCCCCAGTCGCCCATATATCAGCAGTCTGGGCCTTGTCCAATTACAGAGTCGTCGGGTTCGCACACCAACGCAAATAACACCTGCTACATGTTGCCTAAGAAGCAGATATACGGGGGACTTCTGCCAAGAAGTGTATAAAAACGGGTTCAGTTTCTGCAGGTGATGTGTGCAAATTGGAGGCCAACCCTGGCTGGCTTCTGTTCACAAGCAAGAAGCCAGAGAGGGTGTTGGGGTTGACTCCTGTGAGTGGTCTGGTTGTCAGCCTTTGGGACAGCCGGCTGAAGGAAGATACCGTCACTTATAATCTATAAGCTTTCCTGTTTTCTAAAGGAAACATATCTGTTGATTCAAGCTAAGCGGAAGAGTTTAGCGATAGGCTGAGACTCCCATTGTTGGCTGCATAAAACCAGTAAGAGAACAGGAAGAAAGAAAACTGCACCCTGTTCGTTTAAAAAACAGAAGATTATGACATTAAAAATAATCTTCTGGCATTTTACCATAAATAACTATTTATTAATTATCATGGTTTGACATTACACCACACATAGAGAGCGCACTTTAAGTCCTTGTTGTCGATTCCCCCCACCCCTGCACTATCACAGCTCTGTTTTCCCTCTTTGTATTGCTAAGCCTGGGTGGGAGTCTGCAAAAATATGACAAGGCTTGTCCCTTCCTGATGTTGACTCCCAGATTTGTTTCTCCTCTTGATAGGATTTCTCTTGGTAGTAGGCTGGCAGAAAGCCACACACCACGCTGGGGTGGGGCTATTTTTACTGGGTTTACTGTATCCTGTGTTGCCCCTGGTCTAGAGTGGCTGCTAGCAGAGCAGGCCCCTCGGGCTCAAGTTTGGATGACATGAGATGTGTGTAAAGATATCCGTCTACCAGACCTGTCTGTGTTAGCCTGTTTCCCAGCTGCAGGCGTACACATCTTAATAGAACGAGTGAAGTCTTGATCATCCTTCATTGATATAAAAGAGTAACTAGGAGACGCGCAAATATTATTATATGTCAAGTTAGTCTGAGCACAGAGTATGTAAATGAGCTCTGGCAGCAGAATAAAACTTTAACTGCCCGCTGCGCCTGGCGCACGATGCATTCTCAAGGTGGCGCAACAAAACATTATTATTAACACGATTGTTCATATGTGTTTAAATCCTCTGGTACTCTGTCGTTTACTCGTTCCTGACGCGCTCATCGTGTGCTGCGGGTGATTTCACCTCACTGACGCAGCATCGAAACGCGCACCACGCTTTGCGGTCAGGAGATCCCTTTGATCTGCTCAAACGTTACTGATGAGGTGAAAAAGTAAGAATCCAGGCAGCAGATTTTCTGGAGAGTTTAGAGGCGATGCAGGAAGATGAGAGACAGACAGGAACATAGTTAAATAAAAACAAGAAAACAAAGCCAACTAGTGGTCGATGTTTGAATTGTACCAAAAGAAAAGAAAATACACAAATGTTTGCATGTAAATTCTTCCAAAAATTCCACACACAGCTTTTGAATATCGACGTAATATTGCAGGAAAAAATATCAAAATATAATGCCATATCGAGATTTTCTTACATCCCTAGTAAATATACATGGGGCGACGGTGGAACAGGAGTTAAGTACTCGCCTCGCAATCGGAAGGTTGCAGGTTCGAGACCCGCTCAGTCTGTTGCTGTCGTTGTGTCCTTGGGCAAGACACTTAACCCACGTTGCCTGCTGGTGGTGGTCGGAGGGACCGGTGGCGCCAGTGCTCGGCAGCCTCGCCTCTGTCAGTGTGCCCCAGGGCAGCTGTGGCTACATTGTAGCTCATCACCACCAGCGTGTGAATGTGTGTGTGAATGGGTGAACGACTGATTGTGTTGTAAAGCACCTTGGGGGGTTCCAGGACTCTAGAAGGCGCTATATCAAATACAGGCCATTTACCATTTACCATTTAAATTAAATTTAGCAGCAGCACTGGGTTGCCTGGGGATGTGCCTGACTTTAAATCTTCCTAAGGAGTTATATCGGCCAATGCCGATATGTAAAAAATGGTAAATATTGGCCCGATAT